ATGAATATACTGAAATTTCATACGTGAATATTTTGTTGATAAAGACACATATTTTTCTCTATGATGATACGAATTCCGCTTATAGATATCAATACTCTGAAAAGAGTTCAGACCTTTGGCTTGTTGTTACTGAGATACTGTATTTTTTTTAATACAATGCCCTGCTCCTCCTCATAGAAACATTAGAAAAACTGATTTTGAAATTTTGACTTGAAACTTTGCATAGAGATAGGCCTTAATAAGAATAGGTTATTATGAAAATTTTAGATTTTTTCTTTGTTTCTATCTTAAGATACGGCTATAGTAAATGTTTGTTTCTTACATCACTCATATACACATCGATCGATTCGATGTTCTTTAATGATAGGAACAAATCAAAAGGCCTGATAATTTCACGATAAACTATTCTCGTTAAGATTTGTCTATGACTATCGATCCAAACCCTTTTCAAACTAATGATAGCTCATTAGGTTCTACATGATGTACATAGTTTCCACTCTAGAAGTAATTAATTAGTTGGGGAACTTGTCGCTTTCAATGAGAAAATCATATTAAATGCTTTTACGCTTAATAAATCTGTTTTTTCTTTTCATTCAGAATGTTAGTCGTTATATGGCTGATGAATGTAACTATGGAGACTGATAAGTTTGTTTTTCTATTTAAAATCTCTTTATCTTTGTTTTTTTTCGTTTTTTAACAGTAGCTGATGATTGGGATCGTCAATGTTTATGTGTTGTTCTTAAAGACTTTTACAATCTACAAGTAGCTGAAATTGTTAAACATAAATTATCATCAAGCAGTTTTTATTATGTATTGGCAAAATGTACTGATGAGGAATATATTGAATTTATTTAAAAATCTACCATTAACTCAAGAATCTTGAAGTCTTTGATATTAATGAAAATTTTGATATATCAAAAGATTTACAAGCGAAAAAAAGACTTTCATTTAATTCAATTCTCGTAACAATGCATTCAACAACAACAACCAGAGAAGATGATGATACAAATAAAAAAATAAAACGATATTGCTAATGATATACTTTCAAAAGTAAATAATTAATTATATTTGTGATAAAAATATTGCTTGTGTTTTTTATTATTTAGTTACCAAATTTTGAAAACAAAATACAACATCAATCGATCTGTTAGCCTTTGAATTTCAGATATAAAACTATTTTCTTTCTTATGTATTGATTGATTTTTATTTTTTGTTCAGGTTTTGAAAGTCACTAAAAGTGAAACAGCGCCAAATGACGGTGCATATATCAGTGGTCTCTTCCTTGATGATGCACGATGGAATCAAAATACATAATTTTATATAATCCTAAACAGATACAAAAAAAAAGTTAATAATAGGTACGATGAGTGGTCAAAACTTAAAGATATATTTTTTTTCTGTTCTTTTCGAATAATTGTTTATTTTTCTGTTGATCGATGAAAACTTTAGCATTCAGTTTTCGAATAGATTTTCATTGTTATTCCATTATTCCATGGGGAGGATATTTTGTTTATTAGATGATTTTGTGTAATTTCATGATTTAAACAACATTATTCATCAATTCCAACTAAAACCATAACAGAAATATGTGTGTGCATTTATGGTGAAAAAGTAATTATAATAGAGTCTTAGTTTTTTTAAATTAAAAGAGAGCAGTTAATGAGATTTGTCATTGTTCTAGTTTCACTATTTTGTTCATTATTTTTTTTTAATATTCACATTAATTATAATATAATTTGCGTTAAACAATGAACCTTCTATTTATACAACGAAATCTATAACGAATAGAATCGTCTTCATCAAATATTGACAATAAGAAAAACGTATACATCAGTAAAGTTTGTTTTTTTTTGAAAAAAATTATTCAAAATTATATTTAAAGAAAATTGAGAAAAAAAAGTTAAAGTTATATATATATTTCATGAGGACACGTGGATTTATCTAAGATTAAAACGTCATGTTTAGTTCATCTGATCTATAAAAACTTCTTAATCGTAAATACATATGTGCGAATCTTCTATTCTGAAAAAATATTCGTTAGGTATCGAAAGGTCAGAAAGAATAGGATACAGAAAACAAAAACTTTTTGAAAATTTGTAAAAACTTCGAGTGCTCAGAATATCGACTACTCGAAGTCCTGCTAATTTTATTTATTGAAATTCATCGATGATGGGTACGTCAAGGACATCGAATTTCTAGATCGACCCTTCGAAGTGTTACTTTCAGATAGATCAACTGGTCCGCGATGGGTAAACAATTTTCAATTTTATCAATCTATCGGATGGTTCAACTCGACATATCGAAATACTCATCGGTAATAGCTTGAGATTCTTTCTTTATTTATTTTTCTCTTTTGTCTAAAGATTTATTTGATGAACAATTTCCAAAAATTCTGTACTAATTATTTGGATAAAACCAATTAAAACAAATGAATTAAATACCGATGGAACATATGAATGTTCAATATATCAAACAAGTGAATGACGTGATGTACTTTCAACAACGAGTCATTCAACAAATTTTGTTATGCCTGTTTATTTATCAATAAATCAATTAAAATAACGTTAAATAAAACATGGTGTTGCATTACTTTGCCAATTTCATGATTAAGAGAAAAAAACACCTAAATTAAATTCACTTTTTTTAATCCTTATATACATTAATATCAATTTTCTCTATCTCGATCTCTTTCAAAGAAAAAGGAGGAATGTATTGTATTTTGTTACTATTATCATAGAATTAATCAACCAGTAATAAAAGACAAAACGAAGAATTTATGATGATTTTAGTGTTTGTCGTTTTTGATTTAATTGCTTCTAAAGCTGGTTGTAGTTTTGATTGAAAACGATTTTGTACTTGTCGTAATTCAATTTCGATTGTTTCATCAAGTAATACTAAATGTTGTTCGATTTGTTTCAGCAGAAAATTGTTCAATTGTCTAAAGCGAAATAAAACAAACAAATAGATATAAATTTTAATATTGAATAAGTAATCCATACTTGTTGAAAATTATCACCATTTTTATTACACATGCGTACTTTTTGAACGATTAATTTCATAAATTCTTCTTTATTTTTATCAGCTGTTGTTCGTTTTGATCTTAAATTTGAATTTGAAAATGGAAATTTTATATTAGATGGTGATGTTTATTCGTAATCTAATAAACTAATTCAATGGAGAAATAGGAATCTAGACTTACAGTCTCAATAAAGTCTGTAGGATTCAGAGTTAGAGTGGACTCGATGATTTCCATGTTGATATTGATAATATAATCATATATAGGTAATAGAGTACAGCATACTTTTATTTCTATTTTGTTAAATAAATTAAATTTATTCTATGTATCGAATATTGCCTCACATCTGAATCCTTCTAGGATTGACTTGATGGATTCTAGTCGAGACTAGTTTTAGAGCTTTGGCCATCCAAATCAGCAATTTCAAGAGAAAATAAAACGATTAAATCTATATTATGAAAACATTGATAGAAACACTTAACGAATATCATACACTATAAATGATCGATTAGGACAAATTTCTCAAAAGCAAAAATATAAATGAAAAATTCAAAATTTTATTTTTTCTAAATCTACTTTAAATGTATCTTGTTGACTATTGGCGTCATTTTCTGTTTCAGTTTTATTTTGATTATTAATCATCTGATATGATGATTCTAATGATAATTCACTCATTGTATAACAACTACATAATTGAAATGTATCTGTTTCTGTATCTTGTCGATTAGTATTGCAGGTTTATTACGTTCTTGAATTTCTCGAACTTTATCAAACATTTGTCGTAAAACATTGATATCTTTAGCATTACGAATCAATTGATGCTAATAGAAAACGAAAAAAAAAAGAAATTATGAAGAAATAAAATAAACTAAACATTCTATTAGGTAATTCAGTTGCTTTTGATCGGGCATCAGAATTTGTTACAAGACGTTTTCAAAAAAAAAATCATTTGAAACTGTTAATCATCGTGATGTATCTTTCAATATTGAAGGTAGTCATGATAGAATGATAAAAATAGCCTAAATAATAAAGTTTTGCTAAAACACCATATCTGATTTGTTGAATGACTTCCAGTGCTATCCTAATCAAATATTTTATTTTCATATTTTTCTTGTAAAAATTTCCAATTCTTACCAAAATGATATTTCTAAAATAAATCCATTTCAATTAAACAACAATAATAATTATTTTTAAATATTTACCAATCATTGTATTTCGGTTTGTCATTGTATTCTATTAAAAAAAAACAAAAAAATAATTATTTCATTAAAATTTACTAAATTTACTGTTAATTGTCCCACAACATCAAAATCAGCTAATTTAGAGTGACCATTATTTGTGAAAGGAATATTTTGTGCTTCAATTTCTCGATGAATTTTACTACATAAATGTAAATATTCGAATCCTTGAAGTCTATATTTTAAGGGTGGGTGTGGGTGTATGGGTGTGGGTGTGGATGTAGGTGTGTGGGTGTGTGGATGTGGGTGTGGGTGGGTGGGTGTGATTGTTTACTATTTACGCACACCCACACCCACACCCACTCACACCCATACCCACACCGACATCCACACCCACACCCACACCCACACCCACACCCATACCCATACCCACACTCACATCCTCACCCACACCCACCCACACCCACACTCTCCACCTCACACCCACACACCCACACCCGCACCCAGTAGCAGGAGTTCTTATTGCTGGCATTACAAGTTCACCTGGTAAGTTAAACGATGAAATAGTTATTTCAGAGAATTTTTAATGATTTTTCTCAGATGAAGTACAGTGCCCTTTTTTTTTTAGAAAGTAGAAATCATTTCTTCGTGTTTATACGTTTTATCAGGAAGCGTTATTTTTAGTGTCTGTTTAGTTTTGAACGAAAAACTGAAATTTGATGTTAGTAATAGTTTCATGATCTCGGTCATGTCGTTGAGAAGTAATTGAACAAAGAAATCAAATAAGAGCAAACTACGTTCGAAAAAGACAGATCGAAGATAATATATTGTTGTCAATAAGTGTTACAACAGATAAATTATCGGCACCCGCTGGTCTCTATTTTGACACAGCAAATCAAACTTTATATATCGTCAATAGTGGTTCGGCTGCTACAGTGATGAAATGAAAAGTTGGTGATTCAAATGGGACAATTATAGCTGGTATTGCTAATAGTTCGGGATCAACATCGAATCAGTTGAATAATCCATTTGGTATAACACTTGATCAATGGTATAATATCTATGTAGCGGATCGTTTAAACAATCGAGTTCAACATTTCTGTAATGGAAATATGACAGGTATAACAATTGCTGAAAGTAGCACTGGTGGTAGTAGCTTGAGTGCTCCATATGGTGTCAAATTGGATTTCCAACTTAATTTGTATGTCACCGAAAACAGCGGTCATCGTGTAAGTAAATTTGCTAAACTATAAAATATATCAATGGACTGCTCAATAATGATATAACAGACATTTGTGCTTGTTACTTTTTGCCATCACAATTTACTTTAGTGTATCATTTTACTGACTACTTTGTTTGATTTCATTTGGTAAATAAATTACTTGAAAATCATTCAGTTAGACGCACTTTCTTTAAATGAAGACGTACGTGATTTTTATTAGTATGTCTATTTATCACTCAGTTTTGTATCAGAAACAAGGTTAGTAACTTTCTTGATATTCATATTTTTGTAGAACTTGACGAACTCTAACAAACTGTATGAAAAAGCCTAAAAGACAATATTTTTGTTTTTGGGAAAAATGTAGTGTAAAAATTTTCACTTAAAATTAATAAAATGACCATAACATTGCGGAAGATCTATACATTTCAAACTATATTCTTCTTCAGATAACAATTCCTTTTTTCTCTGTAAAATGACATAATTTGAATCATATCTTCACATAAGTCTGATACAGATTTCATGAATTTACTGAGGGATCGAAAGTTTTGTACCAACCTTTACTTTATTTTTTTTGTAAACATATTAGCCAACAGTTGTTAATAAAACAAACACACACTTTATGTTTTTTAAGTCCTTTTTTTATTCGAAATTTGTTGGATTTCTTTTTTTCAGGAATTGAGAGATACTTTCGTTTTTGATTTTCTAACAACTTCGACTGAGAGCTGTTTACGATTTTGGAGGTATAGTAATGTATAGCAAATCTCCTAAAAAGTCTCTTATTGAAGAAAAATCTATCCTATATATTTTCTATATACTGGAGACGGATCGCTACGAAGCCTGAGCTTTACAAGAGTTGCACAAACAAACTCCTATGAATTTTTCGTGACGATTTTTCCAAGTTGGTTCAAAGCCAAAATCTAAGTAATGCTACCATCGAGTGACCGAAAATGTTTGGCACATAGATTGTTTTTAGAATATCTCTACGCAGATATATAATAAGCTCTTGAGTTTTTTTTAAGAAGATGCGCCGTGAAAAGCTGTATAAGCATAACTTTATTGTCTTGTTCTGATGGTTTCTCTCATCTTCGATAGCGAAAAAAATATATAATCGTGCTATTTCTCACCGTATTTATAATAATAAAAATGTTGGAAAGATTTTCTCATTTCCTATGCACCTCGGCTGGGAAAAATGCTACCACCTTAGTTTTTTTTCAAAATATGTGCCATCAATAGCTCTACAAAAGATATATCAGAAAATTCTTATTACAAAATAGAAAGATCCTCCAAACGTTTTATAATCTCAAATACGGTTTCATTTTTAGTGCACGAAAAATAAAAGAATATACCAGCAGGGACTTTTTTCGACATGTTTTTGTGAAACTTCCGACGAAGCATCTTAGAGAGGAAAGTTTAAGATTACATCACCTAGGTCGAACAATACGCCAAGAAAATAGTCGGTTTCGTGGAAGCAGTATTCCGGGTCGGGAAATCGCAGGATTTTTCCGGTGTCGTTCGACCAAATTCCTTTTCTTACTAGCAGAAAACTCCCTTGATTTTTCTGCCCGGAATATTGCTTTCATTTCCATCAATTTCCGAGGGATTCTTGCGAGAAACGGTGGTTTTCCTGATCTTTCCGGAGGGTTTCGGCCGTTTTCGGAGGCCGGAATAATCGTTCTGGCCATTTTTCGGTGCAGAAATATTCACAAAACAAAGAATGTCCCAATCATTTTGGCACACTCGCTATAGTTGTAGTTTATTTACAGGCTTTTTAAAATAAATTACGGAACTTGAATAGATGATATAGCTTTTTGACACAGAATGTTCAAACAGACATATTGCTTTGAGTACAATATGGCAAAAACACTAGAAATAATAGATAATTTTGTTTTCCGCTAGTTGTATGTGCTAAACTAATGATCAGTAAATAATGCCATCTATCTCTACAATGATATTCATGCTTTCCTTTAATTCGTTGGGTCTCTTTGAACGATGTCTACATTTAGTGTTAATTCGATGACTCATCGGGCTGACAGAACATATCAAACGTTTTTCTGGATCTTGGAGTAGTTATTCTTCAGTTCTGTTGAGAAAGAAAGAAGGAGAAAAACGAGTCGATATGACGTACACACATCTTTTTCCATTTCTGTTATTGACTTAACAATGACGATCAGTGTGGAAATAATACACTGCATACATAGCAACATTCTATCTATTGTCTCGGTTGTCTTTTATATTTCTGTTTGATAGTAAGTAGCTTTAATCAATTAATCTCTTGAACTTTTACAATACTTTAAACAATTTTTCAGAAGAATTTTATATAATTCAGTAATTGTCAGATGATTAATAAAAGATAGATGCCAGTTTAAATGTATTTGTTTATTAATAAATGCCCGAAAATGGTATCCCAGTTCGATGTATAAGAATTTATTAATGCGATTTATACTACAACTATTTGAGTAATTTTAACCAATAAATGGTCGTTTTACAGAGTATTTTAAAGTATATTTAATGTGGAAAATAAAGTTTTTAGTTAAAAAGATAAGAGAGATATAAGTATGACATAATCATCAAACTTTCGTCAAAAACTTCTTTTATAGATACAAAAAAAGAAAAACAAGGAAATAAAAATGTATGTATACTGGTGAAATCTATCAGATAGTAATATTCCCTCTATTATATTTTGATTAGACAATATTGTAAAATTGTTTTCTGAGAATAAAAAGCGTAGATAAAATATTTCCTTTATTGTCTGTTTCTCACTTTTCGAGTTAGAAAATTTATTTTCATTGGACAAATGATCTACTAGAGAACAATGGTCTCTAACGCTTAATACTTATACATCGAAATCTTGTTGTCAATATATCGCTAATTGTGCTTATTCTCTTATGGTAATTCTAAATTTTATCTCATTCATAATTAATATTTCAATGTCAGAATTCTAGATAACCATCGATTACTTTTCTGTAAATCTCAATCGATCTCATAGGTATCTTCATTTATCGTGAGCAAATGTTTTCTTGGTTTCGCAAAAACGAAAAGCCGAAGCAACACATGTTGGGTTCTGCAGCAAATGCTTTGATGCAAGGTTCGCAAAATTATCAAGGCTTTGCAAAAATTGGTGAAGTTTTACATTTAGACGGACCTCGCATTTCTTTAGAAGCATTATCCACAGCGGTAAGTCATCTCCAACGTCGTCATCCTGTTCTTCGTAGTCGTCTTCAGATTAATCCTGAAAAGCCAAACAGTTACCTTCTCGAAGAAGATGATACACTTCAGCTTAAAATTCGAGAAATCTCTCGAAAACGTGCCGATCATCTGACATATTGGCGTCGAGAATGGCGAGAGCGAGAAAAAGAAACAGTTGCCATCGGTGAAGGACTTGCCGAATTTTGGCTATTGTAGGCATGCATCTTGATAGAATTACTAGAATTAAAATCATTCTTTCTCACATTTAGGATCCAGATGATGGTAACGAGAAAAATAGCCCACGTGAAATTGTATTCATATGTGAGCATAGCGTCTGTGATGGTTTATCTTTAAGCACTGTAGCGCACGAGCTTCTCATAGCTTTAGCTGACGACAATCAAAACATGTTTGTTAATTCATTAGATTGGCCAATTACTATGGAAACTGGTATTCAAAGAAGTCTATCCAGTGTAAACAGGCTCACAACGCTTATTAGATTGATCGTTTATGCTTTGTACTTACGCATGTCTAATAGATGGATTATATCAAAAATACCTCTGACTACCGTTGATTTCCCATTAGTTGATATGACGAATTATTGTCATACTGAAATCTCCTATGGATCATTGGATAAAGAAATAACACATGAGCTAGTCGAAAAGTGTCGTCGAGAAAGCGTTACAGTGACATCAGCTGTTAACAGTGCCATGCTATGCGCTATAACCACATTAGTAAGTCCTAGTGATGACCAACGATCGGCACTACAGTTTTCTATCGGAGCCGATACTCGTAGACGATGTATACCATCCATTCCAAATCATGATCTTAGTTATCAAGTATCATGTATTTTGCCCTTCACCATACCTAAAAGTGACATACCAACGGATTGTGAAGGTATGTGGCATCTTGCAAGAACACTTGCACAATACATGAAAACGTCGATCGACGCTAATCAAATTCTTGCTATTGGCATCATTCTTGGAAAGTTATACCAGAAGATGTTTGGTCCACCTGATTTATCTCAATTACCCACTTATGGAAACTCCAGCTGGGGTATTTTACCTTTTCGCGCGCAATATACTAGATGGGAATTCACTGGTATGACACCATTTATGAATTCGGTTCGAGGAACTACGCCATTTACTATAATTCAAACTGTCAATGGAATATTAACTATTATTTTTATTGGAAATGATCCTGTCCTTCCTTTAAAAATCATTGATGATTTCCGTGATCGTACCATGCAGAAATTACACCAAATGATTGCAGACTGACATATCGATTACCTTTTCTTTATTTATTTCTTCTGTAGTTTTTTTCAGTAGCAATAAAATACATTTACTGATCTTTTCATGATCTTTCATCGATTTTTTATAATGCTCTTCTTTGTATCAACACGTAATCAGTTATTTTTTGCGACCATATGAAAAATTTCTCAAGTTACTTTTACATATTATAGATCATACATGTAACATAAGAGAACGCAATTTACAGATTTTTAGTTCTTTCTTAATCAGAGTCAGATGCAGAATTTATCAGAGATTGTGTACTTGTCGAAGACGCAACTTCACTCATTGAAGAAATAATGCAATCAATTCTATCGATTACTCTCCGCATACCATCACGGACGAAATTATGCAATCGATATGTGAAGCAAAGAATCATCCATGTAGAAAAAATTAGAACAATAATCAGATGAAAATCAATTGTTGTCCTTATCTTTTTACACACAATCAAGATTTGATCTTAATCAATAATTCTGAGTAGTTTACAGTGCTCATACTTGATATTGCTTGAAGATTGAGATTGAATTTGATGTGAATATATGAATCTATAAATTTTTATCCTAACTTAAGATATTAGATGTACGAATTATTGAAAATTAGAAAACTAAAAATTGATCATATAAAAGGGTGTGGGTGTGGGTGTAGGTGTGAGTATGGGTGTGCGGTGTTGGTGTGGCTCTGGATCTTTCCATTTTTCTGACACGACGACAACAGCCATATCCACACCCACACCCTAATAGATAAAAGGTCTTTCAAAGAAAAGCCTT